TGCTCAGAATTGGATTTCAGTGTTCATTTGTTTATTTAAGAATTCTATGCATCGTTTTCACTGTGCTAGTAAAGGCTAAATCTCTTACATCAATCTCTAACATATCATAAGTAAAAATATGCAAACATCTGAATGATTTCATAATGAGTATAAAGAATATGCGTAGACTGCACCTCTGTGGTCATAAGAAATAAGAATCCTCCATTTAGTCATTAGGCTAGGCATTGTTATGCAAGGTTCTGTAACTGTTTCAGGGCCTGTGGTTCTCATTGTTGCTTTTTCTTGAATGCGGAGGAGTAGCACCACTCTTGGCCTCCTCTGCTTGCTTGGTGGAGGAACAGAATTGCAGTGATTTATCAAGCCATGGCTTTGCGTAGACAGAAATCGCAGGCTCATCAGACTGGAAGCAGAATTGAGCCGACGACAGAAGAAAAGCCAAACAAAAACATTTATTCCATTTGACAGGGCCTCCCACATTTCCAAGGCAATGCCAGAGGGATATGGATCAGATCCAAACTGTGATTTTGTATATTATATTAGAGGTTTTCTAGAACAGTCACAAATGTTCTTATCATGTATGAAGAGCAAACATAGATGTTAGCAATCTGCTACATAATGCTATACATGCAACGAATGGCATTTTGTGTTTTCCTGATGGGTTGATAATGAGTCTAATGGTTTAACAGGTGTTCTGGGACTGATTCCTGGTGCATGTTTAACATTGATGTGATCAGACATTCCCCCTAAAAAAACTCCAATTATGCATGTGGGTGCAGAGAACACATTACATACAGTAAAAAATAAACATTACCTCTTGCAAAGTAAAAACAATGCTGTTAGCTAGCTTGCTTTGCTTGTTATCTGCTATACTCCAGATGAGAGCATGGTCTAGATGAAATTGGGAGTGGGTTTTATAGGTGGCATATCCTTATTTGAAATTGTCCCCAGATGTGTATTCTCTTTACAAGTTCATGTTTGGCCCCACAAGACTATGGCCCAATCCCATTTCACCTCTTACCCCTACCACTTAGCCCTTACCCCTCCTTTTTTGCTCGTTTATGCCTAGGGGTAGGGTGTCCCAATGTTTGTTGGGATAGAGGGGTAGGGCGAAGTGTTAGAGCTACATGGCTCTCCAAATGGAGGCTTTTCAGAGGCCCACTCCAAACAGGTGTCATGAGGAAAAAAAAACAAACCGGCAAGATGGCTGCACAAGCAACCAAAGAAACCCACAGTGTTTTCTCACAATAAAAAATAACGATAAACACTGTATTATCTAAGTTTAATGTTGTTTCAATGTATTATGGTCTTTTTCTTCAAAACAAGCATAAAAGTTAAATTTCCCGTTCCACCTTAAATGGTGCAGCAGTCACATTCTGGGGCCTGAGGCATCAAAACTGCTGCATCATTTAAGGTGGAACTGGGAAATTCAAACAAGAAGATGGTAAATAGCTGACTTCAGCTTCATATCACTGAAGAATTAGGGTTGGGCGATAATAAATAAGTGTCGCAGCCCTCCTCTTTGAAGGGATATGATTCCCTAAATGTAAATAAAGCCCAGCAGTGAGGTTGCTGAACCTTACCGCTATCTGCTGCAGACTGTCAGAGTTGCCTACTATTACCGCTAGTAACGTTAGCCTGTTAATGAAGTAATGTTCTTTTTTATTTGAGGGTTTGTCCCATTTCGTAGGGGAAGATTTCAACCACTGGAACTCAGTTCCAAGTGGCAAGGTGACACTCAAAAACAAGGGGTAGGGGTAAAAATAAGAAATGGGATTGGGCCTATATCTTCCCCATCTTGGCAACTGCAAAACAGCTAATTTTTTATGGCACAAGTATTCCTAGCAGTGATTTTGTTAGGATGCCTTCGTAAGTTGCCTTTTTAAAACTGCTTATGAGTTTGTTTGCAGATGTGCTTATCATATATGAAGAGCAAACAGACATTAACAAGATAGAGAATAGCTCTGCATTTCCTCTTGTGAGATGCATTTCTTTCTTTGGGGAAGATAATAATAACATTGAGCAGGCACTATAACACCACTCGACACTTTTACCTCTTACTCACCACGCTGAAATGTAATTGAAGTTTTTTGTGTTGGGTGTAATGGTTCTTGGCTTTGGAAATTTACAGCTGAAAGTGCTCCCAGTGCTCTACTTGCTCTCTGTGCTGACAGATAGAGGCTAGTCTGAGGTCATCCCAGAGGACCTGAGTGCAATACACAATGTAAAATTCACGGATGGCAGGTGCCGTCCATATCTCTGTCCACTTAAAGGATAAGAGGGCTCGCAGAAGCCTGAGAGGATGAGAGAGCTAGAGTGTGACAGAGCAGGGCCAGGTCAAAGGTTGGGATTTATTGCCCTATTTAAGCCTGTACATATATTCTAGCCTGAGGCATCTCCTGCCAACAAAATCAATGGCAGCTCTCTGTTCTGAATTTCAACAGCTAACAACAAAGCTGGGACAATTACGGTCAGGCTGCAGGAGGAATGAGCTCTAGAAACATGCCAGTTATAAATTGCAAAAAACGCCCTCACAGGAGAAGAGAGAGAGAAAAATCTGTGATGGTGAAGCAATTCTTAGTTAAATGGTCACAGGCGGCGTAGCCTGGATTTGCTGCCCAGCAGGACCAGGAATCTATGCTAGGTTTGTTTGGACACTTGCTCATCAAAGCTTTCTCTGTGTGCTCAGGCTTTCTTTGCACAGTGCGCTTAAAGAAATATCTGATCTCTTTCTGCCACATCTGTCTTGTACAGTTGATTACCACAGGCAAGAATTTCTACCTGTACACAGTAAAACGACATAAAGCCTATAATAACCTATAGTCCCAAAAACCTGTTTGAGTTCAAATTTGTTCTATTTCTGCTTTTAGATCATCCATTTGATCATGCTAGATTTAGGCACTTGAGGCTTAGAGGCTGATGTAGAGAGAACCAGGGTTTGGAAAAGGCAGCAATGAATGGTCTTTAGTGGCAACTGGTGGACAGGGTATTGACTTTCTCTTATAAATTCAGAGTTAAGTAGTTTTTGCAAGGCCAAAACTGACCGACTCTGCTGTTGTGAATCGCATTAACAGCCGCTTCTGAGGTATTTTAGATGTGCCTGTCGAATCGACAGATAGACGTGGGCCTAGTTCCAGAGCAAAATCACTGAGGGTGCATTTGAAATTAAAAGTGTGAGGGCACATCCGTTTATGTATATGCATAATGGAGTTTGTTTCTTAGAAGCCTCAACAACTAAATATTGTGGCATTCTGCTGCTGGCTGGTGCTGGCGCCTGAGACTCTGGAGGTGTGGCTAGGCAGATGGCCAGACGCAAAGGCTCATGGTAGCGAGCGCCCTCCAACAAAGGGATTTATGTTGTTTAGTGTTGGCTGTTGTCAGTTTAAGTTGTGTATATGTGTTTGTTGTGTTGTTTCGTCACCGTCAGGATGAAGGGTTTTTAGTGGTCTTTATGAGCCCCTTTCTGCTGGTATGTTCAGTAAAGAGCACTTCTTACAGCAAAATAATAGCTAGCAGGAATTTAGTGCAATTTAGTCCCTTTGCCTTCATTACAGCTTCTATTCTTTTTATGATACTTGTTCTACAAAGTTCTTTCTTAGAAGATTAATATTTTCTGCTTCTTTTGATCCAAATAATCCCAAACACATGAGAACACCAGCATGTTCTGAGGTCTACCAGGTCTTGCATGGTTGTTAGGAGTCCCAACTTTCTCTGATAACTGTTAATAATTTTTGAACTCCAGTTTTGGAAGCTTCTGTTTTCCATGTATTTTCCATTGATTTTCCCCTCCCTTATGTAAGTGGAGTATCTTATATCAAATCCTATACCTTATATGAATGGCTCACTTGCATTCAATAGCTGTTTGGACTGGAAATTAAATAAATAAAAAGTGGTCTCTGACTTTTGCATCTGAAGAACCGTTTCATCATGCAGAGAACGATTTAAGCATGCAAATGGAGATTTGATGGTTCTATACAGAATCATTGTCTTTACTAAAGGACCTTGAAGAATCATATATTTTAAAAGTGTAGACTCTTATCTAAGAACATATCATAGTAATATGTAAATCAGTTACACTACTGTATCTCTACTGCTTCTTTGTTCAGTCCAGAAACACCTGCTCACTGCTGTCTCTGTTTAGTTTTCCATTAAGTAGAATATATTGCAGGGTTTTAGGTATAGTTCCCATGTGCTATGATCCTTATGGCCAGGGCGAGAGTGTTTCGCAGGCAGGCAAAGCGAGGGTCTACTTTATTGCTTCCATTAGGGACAATGTGAGTCTAATCCATCATCTTAGGAGACTAATGATTGCCTGCATGCATCCCAGCAGGCCCAGACTGTCAGGGGAGAGCGATACAGACACTGCTCAGCGTTTCGGCCTATTTGTCTTCACGGGAATGCCTGTTCACAGTCAGAGAGGGGGGTCACATTCTGACTGCTGGGCTAGAGGACAGGGAGAGGGGAAGCGCATCAGTGATAGACCCTCAGAGACAGTGTTAGACTAAGAAAGACAGGGGGAGGTCTAGTATGGTGGAATATTAAGTCAACCAGTGTCCGGTGGGAGTTTGCTAACTGTAAAAATCTGAGGTCTTTTGCCAACTTTTATGGGCTACACTTACAGTCTAGTTCGTAATTAGGCCACGTTCACAAGGACGTTTTAGTATTTACTAAAAACTAATATCACAGTGTCTTGTTATTGGTTTCAGTGAGAATAATACATTTGCAAACAACATAATAATGCACGAAAATCATGCTTCTCTGTCTGTTGAAAAAGTCACACTTTTGATGGAACATGCTCACACTCAACACAGTCTCATCTTTTACTTACTTTTGGTAATATTAGTGTTGACATAATATGTTATGCCATGTTTATATAGAAATTATGACCACATTTGCATCAAGTAAACCCTTTTTTTCATTGTAATATTTGTTTTGAAAAGTTTTAGCCTCAGCATTGTTTGCTTAAAACATCACTAACTTTCTCTCTGATCTCCCCCCTGCAGCATTTGTGTTGAGCTGTAACTTCCCCGAGCGGCCGGCCTATGGGGACGTATCTGTGAGCAGTCTGCATGCAGGAGGAGAGGCATACTTCTACTGCTTTACTGGCTACCAGCTGCAGGGCCCCTCCACTCTCACCTGCCGAAATGCTAGCACTCCTTTCTGGAGTGGAAAAGAGCCCCAGTGTGTGGGTGAGTGAGATGCACAACCATCAGCCTAGCATTAAGTGGTGAATGAGATTTAGCAATGAATGCATGAATTTGTACTTTTTTTATGGGACTCATGCAGTGTCATCCTTTTACAAAGCCATACTACCATGAAGCCTCTGCAGTTTTAGGACATCATTTTTAGGACTTTTTTGTAACCTTTTGTCACTTAGCCTTTTGAAAAGGGGGATAATACTTTACTGTGCGACAGTGTTCATAAAGCTACATGGCACCTACATAAGCTTGTCATGACAACTGACATAAACCTTCATTTATAAAGGCATATTCCATGATGTAATCTGAATACTTTCTGTTATCTTTGGATTGCTTGTCCTTTTAAAGTCATATAATGAAATGAAAACAAGAGAGACGTTATTTTAGCAAGACTTTTCCAACAAGAATTTACCTTAAGACAAGGTAAACACAGAAACTGCACTGTTTTGTGAAACAGACTCTCACTAGGTGTCATGTAGCCTAATGAACATTGCTCTAGAGTAAAGTGCTACCAAAGGCATTTGTATGTCAAAATGGTAACAGCTACAGGCCAATATTCTGTTATTTAGATATTCTCTAGGGTTAGTCAAGCTACTTGTTGTGCCCTCCTCCAATATTATACAGCGTATACTTCCGTCCTAAAACTATTAGCAGAACATTTGGCCTAATTATGGCAGAATACACACTGCAAATGGATGTACACTATATGTACAAAAGTATTAGGACACCTACACATTACACCTACAGGGTCTTTAATGACATCCCATTCTAAAACCATAGGCCTTAATAGTGCCCCCCCTTTTGCAGCTGTAACAGCTTCCACTCTTCTGGGATGCTTTCTACAAGATTCTGGAGTGTATCAGTGGAAATTTTAGCCCATTTATCTAGAAGAGCATTTGTAAGGTCAGACACTGATGTTGGACGAGAGGGCCTGGCTCGCAATCTTTGTTCTAGATGATCCTAAAGGTGCACGATGGGGTTGAGGTAAGGGCTCTGTGCAAGCCAGTCAGGTTCCTCGCACCAAACTAACCCAGCCAGGCCTTTATAGACCTTGCTTCGCACACTTGTGCACCGTCGTGCTGGAACAGAAAAGGGCCTTCCCCAAACTGTTCTCACAAAGTTGGAAGCATAGAATTGTCCAAAATGTCTTGGTATGCTGAAGCATTAAGATTTCCCTTCACTGGCACTAAGGACCCCTGAATACAACCTCATAGCATTATACCTCCTCTACCAAACATTACACAATGCAGACATGCAGGTGACATTCGTCTGGCATTTGCCAAACCCAGACTTGTCCATCAGACTGCCTGACAGAGAAGCCTGATAGAGAGTCCAGTGGCGGCATGCTTTACAGCACTCCATCTGATACTTGGCATAAGGCTTGCATGCAGCTGCTCAACCATGGAAATCCATGCCATGAAGCTCTGGGCGCTCATTTTTTCTGTTGATGTTAATACCAGTCAGTAGAGCATTGGTGACTTTTATGTAATATGTGCTTCAACACTCGATGATCCCACTCTGTAACTTTACGTTGTCTGACACTGTGTGGCTGAGTTGCTGTGATTCCTAAACACGTCCACTTTTTAAAAATACCACTCACAGTTGGTCGTGGATTATCTAGGAGGGAAGAAATTTCACAAACTGACTTGTTGCAACAATAGCATCTTATTACAGTACCATGCTCGAATTCAGTGAGCTCTTTAGAATGACCCATTCTTTCACAAATGTTTGTAAGGGCAGACTGCATGGCTAGGCACTTGATTTTATGCATCTGTGGTAATGGGACTGAATGAAACACCTGCATTCAATAATTAAGAGGTGTGTCCCAATACTTTTGTCCATATAGTGTATCTCAAATCAAGAAGCAGGTAGATGTTGAAAGCTCCAGAAACTAGCTGCATTGTAACCCAGTCTGCAGCTGTGTAAACATCTATAATAATCCCTAGAGATGCAAAATGTGCTTATTTCCACCAATTTTCAAATGTGCTTATTTCCACCACTATGGAGCAATCTTAGAAGTGCTCAGTGGCAATTATACATTCTCGTTCTGCCTCTCTTGGAAACACCCACAAGCCCTCACTCATTTCATTCAGTTACAAAAGGCCCTCCGTGCCCTGGCAGTTCCCTTGGCACCAAACAGCACTCATAGCAGTGTGTGTAAATATTTTCTCCGCTCAGGTGTAATTTAACTTGATTGGAGAACAACTCCCCATGCTCCCGCTCCCTCCTCCTCCAGTGTTAATTGAGGTTTGATCATTGATTTGGGCTGTAATGGTATTAACCGCTGTGCGTGTGCTAGCAGGTGGTGAATATTAACAACTGGCCAACCCTCAAGGCGCTCCAGCGTAACAGACAAGCAATGCGATCTTCATTGCATGAATAAGAACTTTTTTTGAGAGAAAAAGAACCCCAGAGCATTGGAGACTTTTCCTTTTGCATAACAAACACAGAGGCATCTTAGATTCTGAGCTAGGCTGCTGCCCTCCCTAAAGGAGGCCTGTTTTGATGAAGGATCTCGTTTACTTGTTTAGAGGTGCGGCATCAGCGGCATGAATAGTGAGGAGGCGGCGTTCGCCCGGAGCAGAGCCCGGGATTTCTCATTTTCAGCATTGATCAGAGCGAAGGAGCCCAAATGTGGCGTTTAAGAAGCGCGCTGTGGCCCTGCTGAGTGCGGCCAGAGCCCGGCCGGCCTGCCTAAGGGTGATTACTGACCAGACGTGGGCAGGCTGCCAGAGACTACAGCTCTGGTTTAATTATGCTCTGCCCGCCTGGCTAACCTTCACCTGATTGGCCCCTATGCTCCCCCTGCCCAACAACAATTCTGCTGCTTTCCCTATGCTTTTACACATACAGCTTACAAGGAGTCTTTACATTTGTTTGTTATCTTATGGGTATTATAATCCCTCTTTTTTCTCTCACAGATTTGCTTGTTTTATTCCTGGTATTATACAGTACTGTGCAACCACCCTTCATTTATTTAGTTTCCTGTCAAAACAGCCATTAAGTTGTTATTTTTCAGAAGATGTTTCTGAGCAATTTAGATATAAGACAATCTGCTTGCATAAGGAAGGAGAAAGTAAAAGAAGTAGGTGAAAAAGGCCAAAGTTCTGGAGTTCCAAAAAAAAGTAAAGAGAAAAAAATGACTCCTAACAGCCATGCAAGACCACCAAAACAAACACCATCAGATAATCAGCACTTAAAGCTTTCATCTCTGAGAGAGAGAAGAAAAAAAGCTCCACTCTTACTTCAGATCTGAAACAATCTACAGGTGTTTCTGTCCATCCTCCCCTGTGAGAAGACAACTCAACACTATGAGTCTGTAGGATGTGTAGCTGTTAAGAAGCTCTTACTAGGAAAAGGAAATAGACAAAAAAGAAGAACATTTACAAATCAAACAAAGAATCTGCTGGTGTTCTCAGAACAATGGACTGACCACCCTGGACTCCAGACAACATCACTGAATGTATTTGGGATTGAAAGAAGCAGAAAATGCAACCAACTTCTAGATAAGATAAGATAAGATAAGATAATGCTTTATTAGTCCCACAACGTTCTAAGTTCAAAGTTCCAAGACTGAACTTTGGAGGTGTGAAAAAAATGTCCCTGCAGATTTCTTTGAAAAACAGAAAGCACGTTTCCCAAAAAGAATGGAAGCTGAAATAAAGACAAAGGGTGCACATGCTAAATACTAAATAAATTGATATTATATTTAGTTGCTAAGGTTTCTGTGTAATTTTCTGTTAAATGCATGCTTCCTGCTTTTATCCTGACACTGAAAAATGTGCTTGTACTTAATGGCTGTTTTACCTGGAAATGAAATAAATAAAGGGGGGACTCTGACTTTTGCACAGCACTATTTTCATGCCATTTTGTGGCGTCCACCACGGACCACGCTGCCATGAGGAGCTTAGGCGTTGCGGCCAGGCAAAGAGAGTTTCGGGAGGCGACACACTCCCAGTTCAGATAGGGACTGTTATCGTTGCTGTTGATGAATTTAATTGAATTGATTGTGAAATGAAGTCTCATTAAAGAGCACCACTTGGTTCCATTGGCCTGTACTGTAGGGGTATATCCATGTGTTTTTAGGACTGTTCTTGTATGTTGTTACATGGCCATCAGTCATGTTTGTCTCTCTGTCTTTGTTTCTCTCAATCTCCTGTCCTCCAGCGGCCTGTGGTGGAATGGTGAAGAATGCCACTCTCGGCCGCATCGTGTCCCCTGGTTTCCCTAGCAACTACAGCAACAACCTGACCTGCCACTGGGTGCTGGAGGCTGCAGAGGGCCAGCGGCTGCATGTGCACTTTGAGAAGGTGGCCCTCGCTGAGGACGACGACAGGTCAACACACACACACACACACAGCACCAGCCTGAATGCTCAAGAATAGGCTATTGCGCTCTGACACACAAACACACGTTTGTTTTTCTATATGTCAGGAAATAGGGGTCGAACAGAAGTATCGTATGTAAATACCTATGTGTAATAAGAATTTTCTAAGCCTACCCTTCAGTTAACCTCAGTAACCAAAAAGAAATGATTTTGTAATGAAACATGTATCTTTATAAAAACACTTTAAAAAGTCAGGACTATTTGTTGGTTCTGAAATTATCCAAGAGTTTCATGTGACTTAACATTAGAATCAGCTGCCATATTGATGACCTGCTGGACAGACTGGTATAGATCACCGGTGAAGCCACATGTCACTCAGTTGTTTATTATGGGGGCTTACTGCATCCATTATATGATTCAAAATGATAGTGGTATCTCGATTTGATACATTTTTTGATTTTTGATGCCTGACAGAGCCAACAATCTAATGCACTAGTCATGAGCTAATGCTTTAGCCCCAAACTAACACACTAGTCTCAATTCTCAAGGTCTCGAGCTGTAGCTTTTTACAATATCGAGCATAGAGACAGTAAACCCATGCCTGTAAAGAAGTCATTTGTACTGCATAAATGCTCTTTTTTCATTTTCAACCAATCTGCATAACTATGGTGTTATTTGAATAGCACTGTATTATTGATCTTAATTTTGTAGGCATAACTGTACTAATCAAGTGAGTCTTTCGTGCATCAATAGCTCCAGCATTAGGCTAGTAAAAAAGTACTGTTATTTAGTAATCATCGTCTAATCAAATATGCATATATCTGTACAGGTACTCACGCCAGTAACACACTAAACCAGCCGCAACTTACCAGCATAAAATAAAGGCCGTCGCAAACCAGACACGCCCTGGCGTGCAGCATCTCGTAGCGTCACATACAGGGTTGGGAAGTAACGCAATTCATGTAATGGCCTTACGTAATTAGGATAGAAAAAAAAGTAACTGTGGTTTCTTTCTTTAGTAGTTTTAGAGTGATTATTAATATATTAATATGTGTAAATGATCATTATTTGTAACTAAGAAGATCAGCTCACACCTAGTTTTTGTGTGAAATGAACGCTTATATAAACTTTATAAACTAGTACACATTGATTTCTGTGGGCCACTGAACGTGCTGAGTTGATTAGGGAGCGTCTACCAATTACCATCATAAAAGTCTGAGCAGGACGCACTGACATGAAACCATATAATCCAGTACCGCCTTTCAGCAGATAAAACACAACGGATGGCCAGTCAGAGTTTTTAGACTGACCTTTATTTATGATTACTGTTGATGAGGAGTCTCAAAAAATTTAAACCAGATTGATATTTTGACTTTGGCATGATGAACAACTACTTTTTGTAAAAAAGGACAAAGAAGGAAAAGTCCCAGGAGAGCAGTAAAATTTTTAACTATATTGCATTTGATCCAATGTACCAAATCATTCTACACTAATTACTTGTTTTTCCTTGTGGTTTAGTCTAAATTTAGTCTCAGTGTACTGATTTAAAAAAAAAAAAACATCCTTCTAAAAATCACTGTTTTTTCTGGGGTGCAAAGCTTGATTTTTGAACTTCAGGGTTTGAGTATACATGTCTAAACTCAAACAAATGATACTGTTATACAAATTTGACATGTTTATCTTTGAAATATTTGCCCATTTGGCCAAAAATGAGATCATTGCAGACCATTTCTGTGAGGCATAATATTTAAGTCACATATACTCTATCATTTTTCTTTTTTTTTTCTTTTTTTTGGCATGTGTTAAGTTAAATTCTTGTTAAAATATCTTGTTGAAATTGTTTTTCTCTTTTCTTTATTTTATTATATGTCTTCAATTAAGGGCAAGTAATCCAAAAGTAATGGAAAGTAATGAGATTACATTACTTTAATACAGCAATCCTTTGAAATTGTCAGTAATCTGTAACCGAGCACATTTTTATAGTAACCCTCCCAACCCTGGTCACAGAAACGAAGTGTTTAACATCACTTATCACACTTGCCATGCGTTACTACCTCTTCACAAACTGGCTGAGCTGAAAGACATGAGCTGAAAAGGGCTAGGATGTTAACATTAGCTGAGGTAACTTACCATTAGGATCTGTCTGTCTGACTGCCTTCCTCTGTGTAAATGTCAAGCCACTAATGATCTACTGTGGCTTTCTGTAGTCTGATTATGACTTTAATTTGATGTAGTAATGGCAAAATGCTGTGTGGTGCACTGTGATGCACTGAGAAATTAAACAGTACTTGTTGGAGCACCGGCGTGCGTCAATGCGGTATGTCGGCACCAGCATACGTACCTCCATTAAAAACAAAGGTTTTGGATGTTGCACAACACAATGCAGCGTGTCCAGTGTGTGACGACATTAAAGCATGAGAGACTCCGGTTCTTTCATGGATTTTTTCACGTTTCATCAGATAACCATAATGAAAGCACAATAAGTGTGTTTCATTGCAGCGCATAATGTAGAAACCTTTACTTTATGCAAGTTGCTTAATGTTCTGTTTAATAAAAAAAGCCTTCATTTTATTTGTAGCCATTATTAGTCATTAGCTATGCTAATGCTAAATCCTGCTAGTCCTTAAAGAACGTGTTAAACTAGGTCGTCATCATGGTGTTCGTGACTAAAAAGTAATGTGACTGAAATGTGTGAATATATTAGCCTTGTTTTTCTCTGGTTTTCCTACCAAGGCAGGACATTTGTGTCCTAAAAAAAGTACAAACACACGCACGCACACGCTTCACTGTCACATACTGATTGTCCATCAGATATTCTAACAATCAAAGTGTCACTACAGAGGCCTTCTTTGGTGCTGTCATACTTCTTTTAAGCACCAAATGTGCTTCGTCACGCTGTTAGAGCCTTCTTGAAGATACAGCAAAGAAAGAAGCGAGGCACAGTGTGTGTGTGTGCCCTCCACAGTTTCCAAGATCATACACTTCTGCTCTTTCAAAATAATTTAGAATAATCAAATTCCCTGCTGGTAATGCAGACAAAGTGATTAGAGGCCAGTCTGGGGCTTCAGGAAGGGGATTAAGTTATTTTTATTAGCAGGATCCACCGTTTCTGCAGGCTACGCTAACAAATGGACTTTTAATGAGGTCACTTGCTGCTCAGCTATTCAGAATGGTATCAGGCAATTATCATGCAAACTGCCAAAAGACGGGCCCAGAACTCTCAGCACTGTTATATATCTTCTGCCAGCTTTGTTTTTTTACTGCTTAAGAGAAGTGCAGTGTGTTCTCTTATTGTCTGCAGGTTACTGATCAAAAATGGAAACAACATAGACTCAGCCACGCTCTACGATTCATATGAAGTGGAATATCTACCTAACGAGGGCATTGTGAGCTCCACCAGACATCTTTTCATCGAGTTCACCACCGATGGCTCAGGCACCAACACGGGAGCAGCCATCAGATATGAAGGTATGGACAAATGCAGCCTCGGCTCCAGACAGGTGTCATCCGGTCATATATTTAGAGTTAACTGTAGGGATATTTAAATTAGATCATCCATCCATCCATCATCTAAACCGCTTATCCTTCTGGGTCGCGGTGGGGTGCTGGAGCCTATCCCAGCTGTCATTGGGCGGAAGGCAGGATACACCCTGGACAGGTCGCCAGTCCATCGCAGGATCAGAAAAAATTAAACATAACATTAAACATATACAGTACTGATTAGGGTAATGCACAAGTGTAAGGGGCCCCAAATATTGTCATATTGTCCGTGAGCTATGCATATTTGTGGCAGTTAGATGGTGATTAATATAAATAGAAATAAAGACTAATATGTGAACAAGAGTGTAGTGTAATGTTACTGTACAGCTTACAGTTAAAACTAATAATGTTTAATAAAGAGCGATTTAGCCAAAAGGGTGGTATAAACAACATGACTGCATTCAGAACATAGAGACAATATAAAATAAAATTGGCCAAAACCTAACATTGTTAGTGCTACAAACTTTAGTGTGAGAGCATTTATTCTTAAGTTCAAAATAACTGACCAGCTTTAACTGGTAGAGTCATGGTGTGCTTTTCAGATCATTAATTAATTATCTGACTAATACTGCCAGCTCCTTTTTCCTGGCAACAAGTATGGTTTTATTACTTTCTTTAATAGCTCGATGTAAGAAATTGAGAGAGCACAAGCTCCTTCAGCTTGAATGAGCATGATACCTCTGGTCAAAAAGCTATATGACAATGTAAATTACTTATTTACTCACTATTTCTAGCCCTAAACCAGTTAGTATTCTAATATCACAAAACTGCTATTAGAATTTCATTAAGCACACCTGATTTAACTGGTCATAATTCACAAGGCTTTCATAAGTTGCATTCAGAGGGGAAACAATAACTTCTCCAGATATGTGCCCTGAACTGATTCTGACACCCTGAAACCTAGTGTTATCATATCTATTGGGGTCCAATAAAGAAATATCAATGTCAGGGGTCTAAAAAAGTATTAGCAATGTATAGGGGGTCCAATTAAGAAGTAGGGGTATAAGGGGTCCAATAACGTTGTAGCAATATAAGGAGTCAATGAAATAGTAGCAGTATAAAAGATCCAATAAAGAAGTAACAATTTAAGGAGTACAATAAGGAAGTACCAATATAAAGTGTCCAGGAAAGATGTACAGACATAAGGGTTCCAAAAAAGAAGTAACATTTAAAGGGGTCCAATAAGGAAGTACAGATATAAGATGTCCAGTAAAGAAGTACAAACCCAAAAAGAAACCCAAAAAAGAAATACAGATGGAAGATGTCCAATAAAGAAGTAGAAATACAAGGGTCCATAAAGAAGAAGTGATATAAGGGGTCCAGGAAAGAAGGACAGATATTAAGAGTTCAGTAATGAAACACAGATATAAGGGGTCCAAAAAAAAAGCTGTGATATAAGGGGTCCAGTAATGAAAAAGTGGTATAAGGTGTCCAGTAAGGTAGTATCAATCCAAGGGATCCAATAAAGCAGTAGAGATATGAGGTCCAATGAAGGAATTGATGTACAAACGGGTCAAAAAAGAAGTAAAGATTTAAAGAATAAGTAGTGATATAAGGGATCAAATAAAGAAGCAGTGTTATAAGGGGTGCAATAAAGTATTAGACATATAACGCATCCAATAAAGAAGTAGCTAAATAAGAGATTCAACCAAGAAGTAGCAATATGAGGGGTCAAAACAAGAAATAGTAATAATAGGGATTCAATAAGGAAGTAGCAATATTGTGGTCCAGTAAAAAGTAGATATGTAAGTGTTTGAAAATGAAGTAAATATTTAAAGTCCAATAAAGGGTCCAATAAAGAAGTTACAATATTATCAGTTCAATAAAGAAGTAGCGGTAGAGGGGGTTCAATAAAGAAGTAGCAATATAAGGGATTCAATAAGAGTAATGATATAAGGGGTCCAATAAAGAAGTAGCAATAGAAGAGGTCCGATAATAGCAGTATAAGGGATCCAGTGAGAGTAATGATATAAATAGTCCAATAAAGATGTACCAGTATAAGGGATCCAATAAGAGTAATGATTTAAGGGGTCTAGTAAAGAAGTAGCAGTATAAGGGATCCAATAACAGTAATGTTTTTCAGGGGTCTAATTAAGAAGTAGCGATAGAAGGGGTTCAATAAAGAAGTAGCAATGTAACGGGTCCTGTAAGAGTAATGATATATGGGCTCCAATAAAGAAATAGCAATATAAGGATCCAATATGAGTTATGCTATAAGTGGTCCAATAAAGCGGTTGCAATATAAGGGATACAATAGGAGTAATGATATAAGGGGTCTAGTAAAGAAGTAGCGATATAAGGGGTCTAATAAAGAAGTAGCAATATAAGGGATCCAATAAAAGTAATAATATAAGGGTCCCAATAAAGAAGTAGCGATAAAAAGTCCAAAAAAAGAATAAATAAAGGCACAGAAAAGGTCAAATTAAGGCCTAGTGCAATTGCACTTGCACTGCTGGTAGTTACGCTGCTAAATCTTGTCTCCTTTACGGCCAGCCACTTTCATAGGCAGTGCAGCAGCACTCTGCTGTGTTGGTATGAATGACGCCATGTGGTTAGAGTGGTGATTGTATGTAGGAGGCTCAGGACATTTCTCTGCTCTAGAGCCCTCAGAAGCAGTGATTGCCCCTGCTGAAAGAGTCAAACTGCTGATTGCTCTCTGTCGCTTTATCTCAGACAGTCCTCTCCTTCTCTGAGGGCCGAGGTGCCTTAGCCTGATAACCATGAAGACATGGTTCTGTAGGGTAGATTGACCAGACCTTCCATCCGTCACTATCATTTTCCCCTTTTTTTCATTGGCTGGCTGCTTAGAACGTGCAGCAGAGCCCAAATATCCCCATAAAGAGCCTCAGGGCTCTGAGAGAAACTGCAGGCTGCTCTGTTTCACAACACATACCACTATAGTTTTGTTTATCTATGTGTAAATACTGTTCTCTGCATAATTTGTGGAACTCGCACTCAAGTTTTTCACTCACCTGTGTCCCTGTACTCTTGTGATGTGACAATAAATCTGATTTGATTTGATTTGATTTGCTGTCGTCTCTCTTTAAACACGCCCAAGATTTCTGCCTGAAATGGGGTTTTACTGAGAACAAATGAGATGAAAATTAAATGAAGCAGCCGAACGCAATCCACCAGGGTCATTACAGGCTAGTTCTGACTCGCAGCTGAAAGCAGTGTTTACAGTCGTTTTATTCCTTGAATATGTACAGCTGCGTTTATTGCAGGGGACACACTACTCACCGTAGTAGCAGAATCATTATCCAATCAGAGGGGTCTAATCTTGTTTCCCACGGCACAATCAGATTACACTATCGGGGCTTGGCTAATGCGCCTTTGCAGTGACCTTTAACAATGCCAAGTCAAATAAAGGCTAAATAAATAAAAGCAGCCTGCCACAAATAATGGCTGTTGCAGGTGCAGTGGTACATGTGCAGCCTCCTTATACCCCAGGAGTGTCTGGGTTACACACCAGCCAGAATATGACAGTCCTGTCATTATTGACTGATTTGTCAGTCATTCATCTGTAATTAGCCACGAGGTTTGTGCTAGGCCCACACATTTTAACATATGCTAATCATACTATAAATCTAACCTTAAACATGTTAACACAGATACTGTTTTTACATTAATTTGCACTATGTAGATCCGTGTAAGATGTACTCTTATGATTCTCTGGAGAGATTTAATCTTCAAATACACACAGTACTTTACCGTGCTGCAGTGATGTTAGCTTAAATGACTTTAAGATTCTGAAAAAGGCTCTACCTTTGAGTTCAGTCTGAAACCAGCCTATCTAGAATTCAGTTGTGGGGTAGATAGAAGGCAGCAAGCATTATCTCCCAGACACCCAGAAGCTGTAGTGAAGATCTAAGTCATTACATAATATTATCACGCACCCCCTCATATACCATAACCAAAGAAAAAACTTTTTTTTAAATGTAATTGTTTACTTTACATTCAACTGCCTCACGTTTTACCTACCAATATCATGGTCAGTTACTGCCCTAGCTAGCTGGGTAGGTACAGTAGCAGGAGCATATCCATGTTCTCAAGACCCCATTTCCCCAGGACTGTTTACTAGACATTTCAATGGGCAAATATAGGGCCCTGGTTACAAAGGACCCCAGAAACATAGGGATGACTCCACATTGGCATGCTCGCCACAGGCAGGAGAAGTAATTGAGCCGGTACACTAAATGGGATGGCGAATTACGTTTTACCTGTAAATTTTGCTGCATTTTTTCTGGCAATGGTCAGATCTCTGCAATAAATCAGTTTGGTTTTTTTTGTATTTTATTTATTTATTTATTTTTGTTTATTCATTTATTTTGTTTTTTATAGTTTTATTTTTGAGCTTTCGAGGGGGCAGGGGTCCTGGTTTCAGATGGGAGGACTCAGGCCCCCTGTAGGCATCTAATATTAACATACAGGACTAGACACAAGGGATTATGGATCTGATCCATCTAAATTGACAATATTAATGCCATATAGCATTCATAAAGGCCTTTACATGAATGTTACATTGCCTAAAACTAAATATTTCACATTAAATCACAGACTTGATTTGGAGATTCTCAACGTTATATTACTATAATCAATCTCAGACGTCTCTGCCGAAGGCTTTTAAATGATAGCAGTCTGATGGTTTGGTCATATGGAAGGAAATATCAGCGGTTGATGAAAATGAATCAATTCCACTTCTTGTGGTGTTGAACGGGCGGACTGAAGCAGAGGCTGAATAATGCATGTGGAAGGGGTGGCGGCTGCTGAGATTGAACGGCGGCGCTGTAATTGGTGGAATCACCTGCGTGTGCTATAAAGAGCATAGAGCTGAATGCTAAGCATGGCGGTGGGCCCCCAGCGTGGAGAGCCCTCTAATCCAGCATGCGATTGAGCAAGGATGGACCAGGAGGCGTATCAAGGCCAGAGTCTGCCTGTAGCATCCGAACATCCTCGTTTAATCCCCCACTCTGCAAATCCAGCCAAGCACAGCGGCCAGTAATATATCAGCCAGGCCCAATGTGAGCTCATTCATTCAGATTTATATATGTGCCCCCCCTTCTTTTGCACTAGAAAGTGGTCAGGAGCAGGGCCAGATTAAGACATTTTGGGGCCCCATGTAGCAGACTCACAACTCGGCTTAAATGTTTGCTTACTATGCAAAAGTAAGGTAGTTAGGTAAATGCTAGTATTAAGCTGGGGACCAGTATTTCTAGGTTTGATGAGGAGGTGGAGGTGTGTATCAGCATTCACAGGAGGCAAGAGAAAGGTGAAAAGTGAAATAATTGGTTTTACTGATATAAAAACAACAATTAAAAAAGTTAGTTTAAGTTCAACCATTATTTAGTCTTTAGTTGGTTTGTGATAAATTATTAAACTCTTGGTTTGTCTCTTTAGATTTGGTTGACCTTGTTTTAATTAGTGTTAAGTCTGCTTATTTTAGATCCAGTTATTCCTATAGATTTTAGCTAAACTTTGCTTCTTTTAGGTTTTACCCTTCGTCTTAGGTTTAAATAGTTTAAATAGTTTAGTTTTACATGGTTTAGCTCCATATAAATATGCTATATTAAATTTAGTCCCAATTACTTTTACAGTTTTCCTTAGTTTTGTTGGATTATATGTTTTGTTATTTCAGTAGACTCCAACTTCAAATGAACAACCAAAAGAATATTCAAAATAACACAATCAGATTTAAAGTAAAACAAATAAGCCGAAATAAATAAGGGATAAGATTGAGCTTTCCCAGTGTTTCAGTCCAGCTGCATGTTCAGAAGGTAGTTCTGAATGCATTTCCAAAAGCTCTCATAAAAGTCAGCTCAGTTTCTTGGGTGATTCACCTTCTACTTTCATAAAGAAATTGAAGGTGGCTCCATAGATCTGTTCTTCAGGATTCTGATCCTCTAGTGAAAAAGAACTGACCTGTGAAATGAATGTGGAGCTTGGCTCTGATGTCTTAAACAGGCTTTAACCGGTGGCGAATGTCACATATATCAGGCAAATTATCGACCATTCACAGATATTGCCGGGGTTTTTCTTTTTCTTGTTGCGTTTTGCTGGCTAATTTCTTGCTGCAACTTCACTTCCAGGCACGAACACAGAGAAAAACACTGGAATTTTTTGGTTGTATTGACCACTCAGCCAGCATTTAGATGAAGATTTTATTTATGCGAAAAAAACAGTGACAATAGGGTTGCTAACTTTGTTCACATAGCTGGGGTGATTCACTTATTTTAAATTCACTTCATTTAAACCACAGCTCGTAGTCTTTAACAGAAGTAATGCGGGACGAACAGCAAGCCAGAACCGTTCTGTTTTGTCTGTGTTGCCATTTGCAAATGATCAAATATAGTCTTTGATATAAGGAGACTTTTATGATAGAAGGAAAGTTATGTGTGGCAGATGACAAGGAGACAAAGTTAAACCAAACTTGAACTTTAGTGTATGATGAGCTTAGCACATCTTATGCTCTTGGTATCAGTCTTGGAGCAAAAGGGAATCCCAGCACTCCAGCTTTCTGAAGTTGCTCCTCACTCTGGGCAAAATCACTCTGCTTTCACTTCGCACTGCACACATACTCTATCTGGGCCAATGATATTGAAAAGGTGGAACTGCAGGAACAGCCTTGTAGCCTTCTCAGTAGGCTATAATACAACACTGTCAGTTGTTATCAGGCAGAAAGAATGGTTACTTGCATGGTTGTTCTGAGCGTGCAGGCTGGTCGGCCATTCAGTGGCTTGAGATTTCTTTGTGCAGTGCTAGGGGGATGCTAGGGGGTGCTGAACAACCACCTGAAAATCGTTCGGCACCCTCTGTAAATTGTTTATAGGCCTTTTCATATTTTATACCACATCAGTGTAATTAGGCTACAATTCATAAATTATTTCCACTTTCCATAAAACGTGTACACACAAGTACTTTGTGTACCTAAGAAGTCTCAGGCATTCACTGAGAATGCACAGCAGTGTGCTGATGTAAGAATGAGTCCTGTTTTAGCCTAATCTTAATTAAAACAATAACTGACACAGAAAACACTGATCTACAGACAGTCACTCAAAATGTTTTCACTCCACTTTCATGAGATTATCACTGTGGATAATTTGTGGTTAGTTGTTTAAACATGGATCACTTTCTCATTCCTTCCACCATTAATACGTTTGGAACTGAACAGTGAACAAAAGGAGAGTGATACCAACTGCTGGCATTTTAAGTTTCTTCATCAGTGACACTACCGATTCAGTGTCCACAAGTGTGTGCTCGCTTTTAGGGCTGCAGGGATCACTGTAACACCGCAATGGTAGCTAAATTGCATATTTAGTAGCATACAGACAAAGACTAAGGCCATTTCAGTTCTTTTTTTACTCGTTGCCACCTGCTTCAACTCACCACTGATCACAACTACATTACACAAGCGTCCACTCACGGCAGGGGGGAGGAGGGGACAGTGAGGAGAAGGATTATTCAAACAGAATGCAATTGCCCTTGGTGGATTAAATTTAGTGAGCTAATCGGTTGGCCATGCAAACTTTGCAATGCAAAACGTTTTGTTGAGAAGTCTGAGCATAACGAACATAACATTTGTGAGTATTTGCTTTGACTGGCTAAACTTTTATGTTTAACCGTGGGGTTGTGCCTCTGTCAAGTTTGTATTAGAAGTCGTGAATAAGAGATGGAGTAGTTTGCCACCTAAAGCCCAGAAAATCAAAGTTTACTGTTTTGAAATGTTCAGCATTTTAAAATACTTTACTGCTATGGCTTGTGAACAGCTTTGTCTGCCATTATTTTCCAATTTGGAAAGGAAATAAACTAGTTCTCAATGATTTCTGGGTAAGTTTTGCAGTTGAAGTCATACTCAATTCCTCACCCCTCTAAGTTGCTCCTCTAACACCTTTCACTTGAGCTAATAAAGTAATGGAACAATATGGCGCCTGGGATTCCCCCCGAGGGGAAGTGATGAGGTCAGTTGGACCAGGGCTTGTTAACTCCTTAAATGGCCAAGGCCCACCGGTTGGCCCAAAGTTTTATTACCCAGTTCTATAACTTAAGAATAGCTCAATCACTTCGTATTGACATTCCTGTAGTTAGTGTATAATCAGTCTTAGTATATAATAAGCCTGTGATTTTAAGGGTTTAAAACTGATATTGAAACTGGTGGTAAAAATATCGTTATACAGATATTACTCCAGTCTGTCAAAGTCAAAGCACCTCTGCAAGAGAGCATAGATAAAATATTAGTAGACAGGATGCTTTTGACCAAATGCCACTATCACATATTTTAACCCATAGACATTGAGTTATTACTTCATTTATTTTGTCAAGTCTGCAGTTCTGATTTTCTGTTTACTTCAATAGCAAGACATATGAATGAGTTTTGCTATGTGTGTGTGTGTCCACAGCTTTTGCGCCAGGGCATTGTTACGAGCCTTTTGTGAAGTATGGAAACTTCACTAGCAGTGACAGCAGCTACGCTGTGAGTACAGTGGTGGAGTTCAGCTGTGACCCCGGATACACTCTGGAGCAGGGCTCCGTCATCATTGAGTGTATGGACGCCAACAACCCGCAGTGGAATGAGACTGAACCTGCCTGCAGAGGTGTGTATATGTGTGTGTGTGTCTGAGGCCTTATCGACATCCATTTCTGAATATTTCAGAAAATAAAAATCCCTGTTTTAGTAATCTTTCCTGTCACAGACTCTCTCTTGAAGAGTTGTATGGGCTATTCTTAGTTTATTCACTCACTAAACACTCCATACAACAAACTACTCAATCAGCCACAGAGCTGTGCCCCTGATATGTCTTCCAGTAACCTTATGGGTTTTGCAATTGATGCACGTTCAAACACGTATCACACATAAAGCACATTCAGTACGGTGTTAACATTTTATGCACATGAGAAACTGATTTTAAAGCTATTTAACTAGTCAGTAAGCATTTATTTGCTCAAAAAACACTAATAATACAATAAACACAACATTAATACAATAAGCAGTGATTTTACAGAAGTCAGTGTGCTTGTTTAACTTTCTCTAAACCTCTCCCTGAGCACACCCTGTATTGTAGTTAACATCCAATAGTTGGTTTGTCAATTCTCATTAAATTAAATCTAGTGTGCTGATGATAGAATTGAATAAATTCTTATCAAGGAGAAATCTGGAACCAAGCTTTGTTTTTCAACTAGCTCACAATTATCAACTACTTTTTTAAATTATGAAAATAAATATGTTATATATAGATGTTTTCTAATGATAAATGATGGTTTTACCATCCCTTCCAATTTGTCATGTTATTAAATATTCCATCATGTCCTGTGACAAAGATGGTTTTGGTATTTATTCTCAAGTATAGAGGCACTCGAAAAAAGCATTTGGGCTATTCTCTGTCAACCCCACCTCGTTCTCCTACCTCAAGTGTACGACTCTGAACATTAAAACATGAAAAAGATGGAATAAAGTTGCTGTAAATTCCCAAGCTGACCATTCACATAAGGTTGCTAGGCAGATGTAAAACAAAACTGTGGTTAATTTAACGTTTAGACATGTTTTCTGTTTGTCAGCAGCGAAACGATTTGTGTATGGAACTTTTTTGCTGTGATGGCAATGTGTAAATATAAAGGTTGAGTAGCCACCTCCATCACTGGCAGTTATAAGGAGATTTCGTATGCAGTGCAAACTGATTTTCTTAATACTTTAAAGTACTATTTGGACTCATTTGAAATAAGAGGTAGGGTTATGTAATGTTCCTGCCTCTGATATTTAAGACCGATTTGCACAGGACACTCTTTGTCCATTTTATCAGCTCCAGTCACCAAAAACAAGAAGGTATACTTAATAGCAGCCTGTCTGTGTATAATCATGTGTGGGGAGTCTGAATACACGTGTTTGAGTAGCCGGGTTCTCCTCTGTGTCTTGGGATCTGGAATAGTGGTGTCTACATTTCCTCAGTAATAAGTAGATGGCGGTGGTTGGATAGGTGCAGTAATGAGTGAAGCAGATCCTTTTAGTGCCATTACTGCATAATCCACTTCAGCCTCTGTCACCTGCACGGGCCTCCACCGCACTCAGCCACAGCTACAGGCCTAATACAGCACTAAAAGCATTTATCTATGAATGCTGGAGCCTGAACTCGGAGAGCTTGAGAGAATAGCATAAACACAGAGTTCGCACACTCACATACACATACACACAGCACACACTGCCATCTTATCTGGCCCTGTGCTCGAGTGCATCGCTCGAGCCCCACAATGGAATTTGGATTGAAAGGATTTAATCGCAAAGGCTGCAGCAGAGGGTCAAGACAAGCACTTTTTTATACGATTTCAAAATGTGCTTCCACTCAGCTAAGCCAGTGCACTGAGGCGGGGAGGTGGAAGCCGAGCTGTTTGTGAATCCGTGTCAGGATGATTTCAGAGGCACTATTTCCTCTTTGCACCTCAGGCTGATTAATTCAGACCTTTAGTTTTCCCTGCTCTCTGGACCCAGACTTACTCTGGATGTAGCTGGAGGAATATAAAGTGCCCTAACCTTTTGAGTAGCAGGGTTTGAATGTTGTGCATTTTCAAATTTGCTGATTTTGTTTGTGTGCTTTTTGAGGTGCGGGTGGTTTTTTTGTGTGGGTGCATGTGACTGTGTTTGGGCTGCGCAATAGGTACAAAGTACTATAATCCAATTGTACTGTTTTATATCGTAGTTGTGATGGGCCTTGCAATATAATCATATTGGTGAACCTTTTTTTGTTTTAACCAAAATTATTTATGTAATTTGGATTATATAAATATCTTAATTCATATTTATTAATGACTGATACTGGTTGAAAAAACTTGGATGTAATTTTATATTTAATAATTTTACATGGTAAAAAATTACAGATTAAGATAGTTTTAGTTAAACAGTGCAGTTTACTGACTGATATTACTGTTATTACTTTTTATTGTGGAAGGTGGAAAGGAAACATGATATTATTGATTAATAGTAGTGCATTGTGATGTAAACAAAACAAAACATGTTTTCAAGGTAGGGGCAAAAGTCCCTACACTTCTATTAAAGAAAACAAGAGCACAAGAAATGTATTTTTTTTTAATGATATGATTAACAATGTTTAATATGAGTAAAAGGTTACTCTTTAATTTCAAAGAGTTTAAACTCAATTTTTTTTAATAATATAAATATTGCAGTGATATTGTTTTGTATTAAAGAAATACACTTGATTCCCAAGTGGCACAGCTGTCTAAGTGTTGGCCTATCATTGGGAGATCGCAAGCTCGATCCCTGGTGATGCCATATCCGTGGCTAGAAGCACAAGAGAGCATAATGACTCTTCCCCCTCCCTGTCATCTCCCTTGGCACTCTGTGTTGGCTTGCACTGCACTTAGCATAGGTTTGCGTGACACTAGCCAGTATGGCTGTCTGTTACCTCCATGTAACAGAATTAGCAGTTAGTGTTCTCCTTGAAGCATGTTGAACTGCCCAATGATGTACACTGCAAAAAAAAAAAAAAGTATCTTGGCAAGAGGTATTGTCTTAAATCTAGTTTATATATCCAATATTCCTCATGTTGATATTATTGTCAGCTTATAATAAGAATGTAAGTAAAGTTATAAGTAAAATTATTTCACTATATTGGCAGAAAATTTTGCTTATTTTAGGAAATATGCTTGAAACAAGCAAAATTATCTGCCAATGTAGTGAGATAATTTTATCAAATAAAATTACTCAATACAAGTAAAAGACATCTAGAAATAAGTTAAACAATTTTAAAATATTCATACAGCCATCTCGAAATGAGAAATATTAGATATTTACACTACATTTAAGATGATTTCTCTTGTGAAGATATAATTTTTGCAGTGTAGAGTTGGCCGCAGTTCAAAAAGATGCTATGGTGCTTCACACATCTCGGAGGAAGCATGTGCTAGCCTTCACCCTTCCAGCTTGGTACCATCGTGTGATTAGGGTGGGCTTAGCTAACACGTAGAATTGGCAGTGATTGAATTAGTGAGATATAATATTAGTCAGGCCCTATCAAAATCTCTGGATGCTTACAGCACGGAATAAAATATATTGTTTGAGGGCTACATATCGCAAGTCCCAGTGAAATCAGTATAGCAATGGCCCAAACTATCATTCCAATTCATAAACTATCACACTGTGCAGCCCTGGTATGTGTATAGATTGAATGTAGTGATATTTGTAATATTTGTAATACTCTGTTATTTTTCAGCGGTGTGCAGTGGGGAGATCACTGACTCAGCTGGAGTTGTGCTGTCTCCTAACTGGCCAGAAGCCTACGATAAGGGCCAGGACTGCATCTGGGGCATCCATGTGGAGGAGGACAAGCGGATCATGCTGGACATCCAAGTGTGCGTAAATCACTCTCTCTACACATGGTTATTCATTCAAGAGCGGTTTATTTTACAGCCGAGGAGGAAGCTCATTCATGCAGCACCTAAATTAAGCCTGCATGTCAGCATTTCATGTGGTAGCAAAATACATTATATAAGATTCTTGAATTGTGCAGTGAATTCTCTCAAGATGAACCAAGGTCAAGTGTTGTTCTCTCTGTCTGTAAGCAGTACATCACAAAACATATGAGGAGGCCTTGGTTTTCCTTCATGGGTTTCAAGGCTCATTTACCATGTATAGGCCTCCTAGAAACTGTGCACTCAGATTTGCTGACAACATGGCATATATGAGTTTCTTCTCTGAGTGTTAACTTATTCTCACTTAGAAAATTGCTAAAACATGTAGTTTGACCAGGTGTGCCCAAACGTTTGCTTACGACTGTATATTCAGACATGCACTCTACTCAGACAATATACAAAACAGTGTGGAGACGACACACTTTATAGATAAAAAACAGTAACCAAGCACACAGCATACTTACATGCATGAACAGATGTAGTGTAGTAGATGTAGATAATATAGCAGCTTAGCATTATCCAAGATCTTTATAAGAACTGAAAGGAAATTTAATCTCCAGACAGTAGTTTTTTATTTCCCTGTTCATTAATAAGGGATCTGACTGAAGCAATATAACTTAAAATAATAGTTTAAAGAAGACTGTTTAACTAAAGTGTATTATAGAAATACAACAGGTATTTTGCTAAAAATGGTGTGTGTAGGTTACACTCTTTGAAGTAGTTTCAAAGTGTTATTTTGCTTGGACATGTTTCTAGGACAAAACCTTTGATTGTTAAAGAACTTTTTAATCATGACATTCTTTAAACTTAAACTTAAAAAACTTCTTTATATTCACACATCTCGTTTACAAGAATGCTTGAGGCTCCTGAGTGGCGTAATTGTCACTCTATCTTTTACTTCAAGTGTGACTCAGATTGCTTTTTTATGTGGTAGTGTGAACAGCAAAAAACACCATTAAGTTCTGTTTTTGGGCCTCTTGATTTCATATGTGGTATTGAAATCCAGTACGTCCCAATACGTCTTTCGTGTTGGAGGATGAGTGAGACCGACAGAAGCAGTGTAAACAAATAAGCAAAGCGCTTTCTAATGAGAGAAATCAAACTAATACATTTTCAAAATCAGGTTTGCTTCAAGGATATTTAAAAAAGAGTGAGGGACAAACGTATCAAAGGATCTAGCAGTTTGAAAATATTTGGTGGTCTCATCTGACCTGGAGGAACCACATGCTAGCCTTCACCTTCCCAGTTTAGAAGCATCATGTACCTGGGAGATCTACCTAGTGGGTGGAAATTGGCATTGACTAAACTGGGTACAAATCCAAAAAAGCCATCACTGAAAGGCTATTTTGGAAACCAAAATGGTTCTTCCCTAGCAACGTTCCAAAGAACCCTTTTTATGCTTTATTTTTAAGAGTGTAGGGGTGTGATTGGTATGACAGCCATAGCTGTTAGTGTCAGGTGTATTTGATGACTTTGCCTTAATTGTGTATTGACTGCATGTTAAAACGTTCATGCTAGTTGAAGTATGAATACTTTTGTACTACTCTCCTAACTCCAGAGTGTTTAACAGTTTGTAGCCAGATGGTGGGTGACGTCATGTGTTAGAGAGCATGCTTTGTTACAGCAGCTGTCCTCATAGATATTCACTCTGTTCTAACCAATGAAGCTTTGTGCCAAGTCTCCATTTAGTGTTTCTCTCTGCATTGGCCATTTTTACTGCTCACCTCTCTCCAACCTCTGCCTGGACAGTATGACTAACACAGTATCTGCTTTCTTCACTACAGACACTAAGTCTATATATGGATCCGTTACTAGAGGCTTTTCTGTGATTGTCTCTGCAGGGGCCCTTTTACTGTTCAGCAGACTGACCTCTCCTGTGCCAAAACGTCTCCCCAGACAATATGACTAATATAGCATCTGCTTTCTTCTTCAGCCACCTACAAATGCTGGCGTGAATCAGCTACTGTGTAGCTTTATCAAACCCACAAATGCATTTTCACATCATCTGTCAGAATCAGTTGTTTGTCTTAAGCCATCAGTTGGTCAGCTCTTTGTTCCTGTGACTAAGATTTCACCGCTGTTGCGTACTTCTGTAACTTCTTATCATCTCATCCCAGCTGAGCAACCCTATGCCTTGACTCAATCCTAGCCTTCTGCCTTGCCAGCCCAAATGAAATGAGTACAATACAGCCCCGGGCATGCTCAAAGACAAGTGTGTCAAGGGGGCTCATTTCAAGACCTTGACCGCCCTCTTTGAGGTTCTCCCTCTACCTTCCTTCATAAATGCATTGAAGCACGTTACAGTTGCCTACAGTTTCATCTCCTGGTTTCGAATTGCACTTCTCTCTCTGTGTAGGTACTCTAAGCAACCCAACACATTTCTTTCTGTCCTGATGTCAGCAGTTCAGCATGGAAAGTGTGGATCATGTCATGGAACGCACACTGAATTCTTTCGAAGAGGCTGTGTATTAGTGAAGTAATTAAAAACTGACCTCAGCTTTTTTTGTCAAATTTCATTTTATTTAAATGGATTTGGATATAGTGTTTATTTTTTTTCTTTTTCTTTTGCTTTGTAATCAAGCTAAGATCAGCATGATGGCAAATGTGTTGGTATTGTTTTAGGCCTGCACAGATTTGGTTGGCTACTTAAGCATAATTCTGTAAAGCTTGTAAAGCATAATTCTGTACAGCTTGTTGGAGCTAGCAATATTTGTTACGAAAGAACACATTTGTGGGTGGAGCATAGATACAGCAGCCACAAGAAGTATTTGAACAAAGGAAATATTAGGAAACACAATGTCAAACCCGCTGGAATTTATTTTAAACAGACCATTCCAAGACTAATTTTCTTCTTGGCAAAGCTTGCTTTCTAAAAGGTGGCTGGTGTGTTTCATTATCATTTAAGCATTTTCTTTACAGATTTGCGTCCAGAATGCCTTTATATACTTCTGAGTTCATGATCACATCAGTGAACACAAGCTTACCAGCGTCATTGTTTAAAAACCAGCCCCAGACTTTGTGCAGTTTGACTAGACTTCTTCTTCAGGCTTTTTCCACACAAAGAGTCTAACATCAGTTTGATGTTGTGCTTAAAGAGTTTTTTCTGTAACAAATATCATTTTGTTCACACTTGACAGGTTCGGTTTAATTAAAACGAACCCCCCACTGTGCGATTGCTCTACCCTGGTGTGCACCAAATAACTGGACAGAGAACCCCATGAGGAGGTCAGTCTCAGTCCACTTTCAAATAAACTCTAATGGAGTTTATTTGAAGTATAAATGTAAAACAAACCAAAGATGTCTAAAGAGAAAAAAATGCAAAATGAACTGTCGTCTCTTCTGTGCAGGTCTTCTTTGGTATCTGCAACAGAAGAATTTCTCATGTGTTTGTGTTCATGTTGTCATCTCTAAGTGAGTTCTGACTCAGTAATCATAGAACAGATAGTTTTGGTTTTAAAACACAGCTGAGGCATGTTCTAAGCATTATAAAATATGCTGTATGCACATATCACTGCACACATCAAATATACATTTATGTGCCAATGTTCAAAATAAAGCAGCGAGTCACTGGAGGCTGTGTGTTTTCACAGTGTTTTCATAGTGGGAGTTTGTGGGAAAACCATGGTAATGCATGAGTGGCTTATTGCTTTAGAATATCACAATACAAAGATAAAGCAAGACATACATACATCCACATGTTCAGTTAGACCAGAGTACAGCAAGATTTCCAGTGTTTTTAGACGTTATCCCAGCTATTGTCACTAAATGTACTTCATAAAATCTGCCCAATCAGACGTGACTTTTTCGTCCATCTAACTTAGTTAACAGTTTCTATTTCTATGCCAAATATGTCAGTGTGAACACTTCAACTGAAACTACAAATGTAAATGCACCCTTAAACATTTTATGAAGTAACTTAAAGAACTTCAATGAAGTCTTTTGGGGATTTAGAGTCCTCTCTGGTGGAAGTGTGTAATTGCATGCAACATGTAGAAGAATATTTTGTAACGTTGGTTGTGCTTCGGTCCTCTTCCCCGAGTTGATGAAGCTGATAATTGCAAGCATGGTGAAAGAGAATTGAAAGAAAACTCAAAACTTGGTGGTCTTCTGAAGATGTAAGCAAATGATCTACTATTGTCATGATATTTTTATCAGTATAATGTTTTTTGCATTTTAAGATCTAAACATCGAGCGGGACCTTCTTGACCAGTGATTAATTGATTAAAGTGTTCAAATACTTTTGGGGGCCACTATAAATATATTGCTGCAGTTAGGCAGGTTATCGAGCAGCGGGTCAGTGTCTCCATTTTTCTGCCTATTTTGAAAACTTTTCTGTTTCCAGTTTATGGATGGGTATTATGGCTACATGATATATTATTGTTTGTCACAATAAAATCTTCTAAGCATATTGTGGGTATCATTAGTCAAAAGAGTTTTAGATGGGGCTCCCTAGTGATGTTACTGTCTATTATTTCACCATATTATCGGGGGGATTGCGTGTTTAATACCCGACGATGTCAGGAGTGCGTCAGCGTACCTATTTAATTGGATGTACTGATGCACAGGATATGAAACATTGAAGTATATAAACTGTGCTCAAAGTTTTTATACAGTTTTTTAAATGTGGCACTACTTGGCAGGTGGATTGTGTCTGTTCCAACTTATCAAACCAAAGAAAAGCAAAATACAGTAAGTTGTATCATGTTTTGTGAAAGTGTCTTCAAGTATCATGACATCATATTTTCCAGATGTCGTCCAAATCTACAAACATTTCCTCGGACGAGCAGCTAAAATGTTTCTATTCAAAGAAGATCTTGTGACACGGGGCAGAAACAGGCCTACATAGGGGGAACTTTTGAGAATCTCCGACACTCTGCCTTGCCCTGCCTTATACATAACTTGTTAACATACATGAGAAGCTAACAACTACTCCTAATAAA